GTGGGCTCCAGGGAAAGCCCCTCCGAGAAGCTGGCCCACCCATACCTCCTGCCCAAACCCACACTGAGGACCCAGCCTCTAACCAGGTGCTGGCCCCAGAGAACACAGTGGCAGCTGCACCAGCCTCTGAGACCCCAGGGCTGCGACACGTCAGTCACACTACAACTTCACGGCACTCCCTCACTTGAGCTGTCACCCGTCCTGGTGAAGACTTTTCCCCAAAGTGCTTGAGGGTCAGCCCTGCCTGCCCTTGGCCCTGGGGACCCCTCAGCAAACCCCTCCAAGGTCACGACCACAGCCCAGTCCTCCTGCAACACCCCCTCCCAGAGTCCCGGAACCCTGAAGGCTGGAACCCGAGGCCTCTCATGACAATTGTGCTATGCCCATGCGTGTGCACCGAGATCCCAGAGCCCAGGCCAGTGGAGTCCATCCAGAGCAGTGCACCAAGAGACAACTACCCCCGTAGCCTACACCACCAGGAAGACCCAAGTCCCCCTAACTGGCCGGCCTAAGGATGCCCAGTGCTGCCGTGAGTCTGCAGTGGGTTGCAGCCCACACCTGAAACAGGCCGGCCCCGTCCTCGGAGCTTTTCCTGAAATCCCGCCTCTGTACTTTGAGGTGCCTGCGTCCCCACAGTCCAGGAGCGTCTCCATCCAGGATTCAGACCCACTCCTCGGAGACGGAATCACCCGCAAGGATGGGCCTCGGCCCATACTCTCTGTGAGGACAGGAGCCAACTCTTCATTCCAGTAAGCAGACAGAGCAGCATCATGAGGACTACATGGACCACCCTTCCTGATCCCCCACGGGAGCCCTGCTCCCCACTCCCTGCCCTTACTCTCCCTCTGACACGCCCATGTCCTCTGCCCAAGCCCGGAGGCAGCTTACCCTGTCCCTGCCGTCAGTACTGACTGAAAGAACCTGTTTCCACCATTTAACTCACGTGGAAGGCCCCTGACGGTCACTGAGTGAATGCCTGACCTGAATGGCAAGGGCCCAGGGAACTCGGAGCCCACGCCATTAGGATCCCAGGTGGCAGAGGCCATCTCCAAGCCCGTCACAGGATGGCCCCCCTCAGGCCAAGACCTAAGCCCACAGCTGGCTCGATAACTACAGGCTGAGTCCAGGGCTCACCTGGGCATCCACCTCCCTGGGCCTCTTGGAGTCACGCAGGCGGTCTGATCGCCACCCAAATGCACCATCTCGTCTGCAGCCCTGGAATCCCGTCTGAAGGGGCAGACAGTGAGGCATCAGACCAGCAGGCCTGACTGCAGCCACTCTGGGAACCCACCTGACCTTCAGGAGAGCAGCTCTGCGGACAATGGGCAGCCCAGGCTCTGACTCACAGGCGGAAGGCTGAGGCCCTGTGGGCACAGGAGGTGCCCTGGGGATTGGGAGGCTGCAAGAGTCTCTGGGGAGGGAGTACATGTTCACCCAAAGC